TAATTATAATATAAGCTAGATTTTGTAATTTTTGCATGCTTGCGTTGGTGGGTAATGGAAAGGTTAACTTGTGCGTACGTATCGTTTGACTGCGCAACAGAGAAAGAGGTAAACCAGTCAGTTATAAATCGATATTTTGCGCAGTGGACCGAGTAAACTAGTACAATGATTTGACTAAATTATACAGTACTCCAACACTGAATGTTAATGGTTTACCGAGAAATATAAAGAAAGATTGAAGAGATAATACACACGGCATTTCGCATTTAAAATTTGGCTCTACAAAAATGGAAGTCTTGATTGCCTGCCGCTGTGTTCGAGGGCATTCATCTGCTGACAAATTACTTTGGAATACAAACAAAAAGTATTTAAAAAAATGAAAGCCACGATTACAGATAACAGTTTATCAGCCGTTAGTCAAAGAACGGATAAATTGCTTTCGAAAAGGCGAAATTGGACGGGACCTGCATTCTCCTTGTCTTCGTAGAAGAAATGAACGTCAGAAATCAATGGCAGAATTACAATTCGAGTTGAACCAACAGAAATGAAATTTCTAGCTTAGCTACAAAGAGACACATAATTACATCTGGCCTGAAGGAATTGTTTCGAGGTCGTTTGAAAGTTGCGATATACCAAGCGAAGAATAGAGCAAGTATTCTGTTGCGTTCCGCGCAGCTCGCCGACATGACGATAGAACCTAGATTTAAATTGATATTCATCAAGAATCTGTTAATTCGACAATAGATATTGTATAACGCTTGCCTTAAAATTTATATTAATTGGTTCGTTGCAGCTAGCCTTCACAAATTCATGGAACAGCGCGATAAACTTGGAATTTCGACAACTAAAATTCCGTGTAAAACGCTCGATCGCGAATTCATTTCGCTGTGAATTCATCCAGCTGGCACAGTTTCAGCCTACAAATCCGTGGGTGTGCGCGGCAACGCCACCGCAGTTTGCGCGCTTCGCTAAGCTAAGTACGGAAAACATATCAATTTACTAATGCCGCACATTAATTGAGGCTCCGGTAACCGTCGCGTAAGTAAGTCACACCCTTCTTCGTGGCCCGAATTATTCAGCCGAGTGCAACTACGTTCCACGTCACCGTCCCACTTTCGAAACTTCGCACTTTAGCAACTTAATCGTCGTACCAGCGCGGCGGCGCGACCAATTCGCAAAGCGAAAGAGCATCCTTAAAAAAAAAAAGCCGCAAAGTGTTCGAATAAAATTCTGATAGGGACCCGTCGGGAAAGCTGCGCGGCATCTCGCTTCGCTTTAGAGTTCGTCGCACGGAACGGTAATTTCTCACGATCTCTCTTCGCTTCCTACGCGTTTTGATTCGTAAATTAGGAGCGATCGTCCAGTCGCGAATGGACCCTCCCCCCTCTTACTTCGGGGATGGTGATCCCCGGCCCAGGGAATTCCGCATGCTAGTACACGGTTACGAACCGAAGGGTTACACTGAACACACGTTAACACACAGCTACTAAGCACAGTTCCATTACATGCAGATCGTTCCATTTGTTACGGAGCGTTGCGGAGCGCATCCCTGTACTTTTGGCAAACGCTGCCAACGGAGTTTCGCGAATTCCATCAAGAAACGTAATGGCTCTCCCGACAATGACGCAGAGATCAGTAATAATGCCGTGTAGTTAGATGCACGAGAAAGAAGCTCATTCAGTTACAACTACGAAATATAAAGCAACTCGACGTATTTCGCTTTTGAAAACAAAAATCTTTCATCGCTGCATAAATGTGGCAGCTTGAAAACAGACTTGAAAGCTTTGTACTTTCGATCTCTTTCCGTCAAAAAATATAATTTTACATAATAAACATGCGAATGTTGCTCTGTGTAAAAACAACAATCAGCGGGAGAGAGAATTTGCCATCAGTTATAACGGATGTAATTAACGATATCTAGCGACAATTAGAGGTCTCTCATTAGTGTGAGCTCTTGGGGAAACCGTTTTTTTCCCAAACAATTACGGGCCTGTCCGATAAACCAATTGGCGACATCTCGCCGACTCGCGCAGATTTTAATTCCGTCGAGAGCCGTTCATTTCGGCTGTTCGTTGAACTTATAGCGAGCGAACGTGTCGCGAGCCACTGCCGTCTCGTTATCACCGAGAGGAAAATATGTAGGGAGAAACACGAATGCCGTGACGCGGCTGTGATTGCCTCGCTGGCATCGTGTCTCCGTGCGACTGATGGAATTCGTGAAACTACGGGCGCGCTGGTCGCCGACCTTTCTGTTGATTTCGCAGTAATGCCGACTGTGCAACACTTTGCCTCATATCAAGAGAGATGCACGCTGGAAATGCACATACATATGTTGAAATTGAGATATTACCAGGTAAAGTCATAAGCAAGCAACCGAGATTCGAATTTTACTTTTGCATAGAGAATCTGGGACTCTTTGTATTTCTGACGGCGACAGGCTCTGCTCTTTAAGAAATATACCATTTTAATATACTTTTTAGTCACTCATCTCAATTGTAAAGGTAGTCGAAGCAAAGTATGAATTCTCTTTTTATTCTGCGATTTTTGTACATAATGCAAAACGATAGGTAACAAGCATTTGTATTAATGTACAGCTGAAAGCAGTCTCTCGTTCGACAACGCGCGCACTTGTTCTTTTTTTCATGACTCGTGTTATATGTGTATTATTCTATAAAAGTGGAACGTCGCGATTTCGTCATGGGACCAATTTAACAGTCATGCCGACAACGGGGAATTCGCGCTTTCGCTAACAACTGCCGCCGCGTTCATTCGCGATAAACTTTGTCGATTATCCCGATACACAGTTGACAAAGCGGGAAATTAAAGCTCACCGGATGCAGGTATGTAGATCCTGAGTGGATCCCAGCGGAAATTTGCCGCGTCGTGCTACATATTTATGGAAATTTAATGTGTTACACATCCAGTGTGTACGCGAACCACCGCGACCGCTTTGACCACTTCGACTATCACTCGAACGAGCAGCCCGCAATTCATCTGTCGGCCAACAACTCGCAACACGTTCATCCGCAATAAGTTCGACGATTGCTCGGGAGCAACGTTGGTTCCCGAGGAAATTAAAACTTGGCCAATTCAACCGCCCGGCTCGGACAGTTGGCTTTATTAACCGTCGGCACGGAGAGAAAGAAAGCCGCCAGAGCAGCGAGGCTAATGAGAGATACAGCGAAGCCGGGGCTGGAGCGAGCAAACCACCCCCGTCGAAATATGACGAGCCGCTCTCTTTCTCTCTAGGGTAATCTTAATTCTCAAACTGTTGCCTTTCCTCCGGCGCGATGGTGCGCATGCAGCGCGCCGAGTTTTGATCAACGTCCGACGCGGATGGATGAAAAATTCATCGCCGCAACGCGCAACTCACCCTCGGGGCACTTTATTAGAATACCTGTTTGCCAGGACTTCCTACCGCAGTCACGCTCAATTTGTCGGTCTTAACGAACTGATTTCTCATGTCGGTACTCCCGCGCGACCAATTATCAATGATTTTTCTTCATTCCGCTCGCTCTTCTTCTTCAAACACGCGCCGAATGGTTTCGCGTATCACAAATGTCCAATAAATGCATTCTTCAATCTTTCCCCCTGAGTATTTTTACATTTTTGTACCGTCATTGTTTAACAATCTAATTGCTGCGCCTTTGACACGCTGCTTTGAAATATTATCACGTGAGACGAAATAAGAGAAGAGAAACAGAACGACAGATCTATATGGGAGAAACGAGAAGTATGTAACGCGCGTCAGATATTTATCGTAAACAAAATTATTCAGAGCTAACGCAATGTCACGATGGTACTCGACGATGAATTAAAAATCGTGTAGGAGCCATTGTCCCGTTATTTCCATCGTGTATTAGCTAGCTGTAAATTCTCGTAAATATTTCAGTGGTCAATAACCGTTCAACTGCCGCGAAATTGTGTCGAATAAACGGACGGTCCGCAATCGTTTGCATTGATTTACTTTAGCGATATTATCAATTACAGTTCGACGTATGCCTCTGATTTGGTTAATCATTATATACATAATTCAGTCACTGTATTCTGTATATAAACCAGTAAATATTGGCCAAGACCTTTGAAGTTTCATGTTCTCGCATATTAAATATTGAAGTAAGCGAAACGTCAAGTAAATATGTTATTTTTTCAGTAAATAATACATTTTTTTAGTACTCGGGGAAAACTCGAAAAATCTCATTATATATGTCTCAATCATGTAATGATTATATCTTGATCTCTATGAGATCCAATCATCAGATCCTCAGAGACTTGACACTTTCCTAGAATTCGTTCGACGTTATTTATTGAGATCTAACTAAATCTATAATTAAATGTCCTAAGAAAACATAATTAGATCTCAATAGATATAATAACATTGAATATTCAATCAAAGTGTCAGATCTCTGAAGATCTGATGATTTTAGAATTGGATATAATAAATGATTGAGACATATATAATGAGATATTTCCATTTTTTCCCGGATAAGTTACTGGTTTATCTACAAAGACGCAAACTATTTCAACATTTCTCCTATTTCAAGAAAATTATTTATTTAAAATTACTTCCAAAATATTTCAGACGTAATTATTATTTTTAATAAATGCGAGAGTGAAATATACATCGGGATTATTTTAAATGGAGTCAAACTTGTAACATAGATGTTATATTCATTAGAAGTCTCGAACAGAACTGCCTTCGTAGCGTTCTCAAAATACGTATGTCTGGAAAAGTGATCGCTTTATACTTAAAACAAAAAAATGAAGAATCTCTGCAGCTCATAATCGATGATGCGATAAAAAGAAAAATTCTCAATGTCCTGCACGAACTGGACAGGACCGTGCTTACGCTGATGTGAATTAGGATAGGACGCAGTCCGCGGAAAAGCACAAGCGCTTGCGCTAAAAGCCACGGTCCGCGGGGGGGTTGAAAGAGGGTAAGAGCTCGGGCTGGGGTAGGGAGAGGGTTCGCGTTAGAAGCTTCTGCGGGAAACGGAGAATCTGCGAGTGTCAGTGCAATTCGCGACGCGATGCCCTTCGCTCCCCCGGTCCGTGCTTAAGGGGTGGTGAGATCGAGGGCTCGCCGACTACCCGTCGTGTCGTCATCGAGAGCGACGGGAAAACTACCTTCTGTGCGCGACAAGTTCCAAGGAAATCAAAGTCTCCATTCATGTAAAACTGCGGGCGGTACAAACCGGAGTAGTAGTCGTGTCGACGAGCAAATAATCGCGCGATCAATCCGTCGTTCCTACGGGAAATGACGGAGAAATGTGTTAGATGTGAGTGGCAATTAGTAGGATTAAATCCGCTTATCTTCGAGATGAGTCCGTTGATCAATTCATCGAGTTTTGTTATCGGTCATTGAACGAGCAGCTGGTTATCAATTATTTGCGATAATCGTGCGGATCGATGCGATGGTCTGGTACGTGGCCGCGCGAATTCTCGCCGATACGTCGGTCGTTTCTATCGCGAGATTGAAAATTATGCAAACATAATTTCCGACACCGTGCAATCCGCGCCAAAGAAACGCCGGCGTGGCGACGTCCGATCGTGCGTTCGCCATTATCGGAAAACAGCGGCGAGGTGCTCGAAGTAAATTTAAGATACGACGCATCTCTCCCGCAACTCCTCCCTCGCCCCATGTCATGAGCCCCTCAACCAACTCTCTTCCGCTCCCTTTCGTTTTCTGTTCGCCAACTTCTCGCGTAACTTCCCGCTTAAATTGCGTTAGAAACTCGATTTGCGACGTGCGATAATAATGATTGAAAAGTTTGGTAACAGTTATCGATTAAACATAAAATGCAGCGTTTTAAAATTTTATCATCTATCCTTTCTCCGATGTGTTTCGCTATTCTCGATTTCTCACGGTTTCACAGTTGAAAAGTCTCGTTATCATAAAATTAATTAAAAATATGAGACAATGAGATACTTCTGGCTTCTGATATCAATAATTACAAAAACGTAAGAAAGGTCTTTTATGCCATGTGGCGAAATTTTGTCAACTTCAACGTTCTTCTCTTTGCGTCTCACGCGTCTCATAGTTTCAATGGAAGTCGCTGGCTAAATTGCATTCACGACTCGATTCTGTGGGGATAATAATAATGATCGGAAGCTCTTACAGCAATTATAAACGCAGGAACTTGGCATGGGTGAGAGTTCGTCGCTCCGTTCACGTTCTGTTATCAGAATTCCGATCTTGAGTACAAACGAGCAGTGACAATTAAATATGTCTACCCCGCCTTAGTCCAACTCGTGTACGTTCGCAAATCGATAAATAATTGCATATCTGATGTCATTATTTCATTGACAAAACACCCTTCGGCAAATCTTCGGGCACAAACCAGCACAATTTCACGTTGAATTCTTACAAAACGCGAAATTAATTTTGTAAAATAAACGCTGCGAAAAATAATTAGTAAATAATAATGACGAATTCGGGGCTAATGAGAGAATTAAAATCGATATTTTTAAATCGAATACGAAGCGTGACGCTGTTAATCCGGATATAATTACGCAAGACTGGAACGTGCTGTTCACGATTGGAAGTATTAGCTCGTGGCGAACAACTTCGGGAGAAGCAAAAGGATCATTAAAAGCACATAATGGGTCATACTGGATAGATACTAATTGATAAAATATTAGCGGAATTCAGTGTAAATGTATATATAACGAGAACGTGATTAATTAATCAACGGGGCACACACGAAGCCTTCTCGCCGGCATCAACGAACGGTGTGCGATTGGACAAAATTTAACGGTGAGTACTCATGTATATGTAAGATATTTTTTTACGCTCTACTCTTTGAAATTCAAATTACTGTTGTAATGTCGAAATTACGAGCTGACAGATTATTTTGTTGGACGTTACACGATAGTGAAATCTTCATCACCGTAAAATTTAATCAGTATTATTCAATCAGCCTAACTTTACTCGACATTCCTTTCCGTAATTGGCCCATTTCCTACTTTCTCCCGCAAGTATTTTGCTTTTTCACGAATTGCATACAATGGTCGTAACTAATTTCGGCCTGTATCATACATCCTTGATAACGTATTTGCCAATTAACGGGAGGAGCACTCGGTTATGCGGGCGTTGCCTTAATTTTCCCTTCTCGTCTTAATTTTCCGTGGTAATTCGCGCTCATATTTTACATTGTTAGACCGGCACTGTAATAATGGTAAATTACGTGTAACGTTGCAAGCGGTATCTGAATGTCTTCTAAGATGGTTCGGTGAAAACATGGTTCTGTTTTATACGTTTCGCTATTCACGACGAGACTGCAAATAATTGAATCGATTTAATTGGTTTAATTTAACGCCATCGATCATTCACATTGATCTGTTATTCATCATGTGCTGTACACAATTAATTTACCGTGGCAGGATAGCTGATTACGTTCGCTTATTTTGAAGGATAATACACCGCGTGACAGAAAAAAATAGTCTCAATTTATTGCTATCTCGTTAATAACCCGCGTCATCGATCGGAATAAACTGATAACTTTTACATGCTTTATTTGTTAACTCGACCGATGCCAAGCAATTATTCATCACGCTAATCATGCCAGCGTTGATTATAACCATTTTTCATCAAAGAACTGATACGCAACTAGTATGCGATGGTAAATATGTTTATTTAATGATGTTTTTATATTTTTATTTCACAACATCGAATATGAAATATATCTTTCTACAGATGTGGTTTTTGCATTTGATTAGACTCTCTATGCAAAATTATTTTTAGTAATAAGAATGTTAGAAAAATTACTAAGAGAATTTAAATCTCGGCTATTTTTATATTCTATTACTTATTAATGTCCAAAATGGACATTATGTTTTTACAATGGAATTTATATCCGATCCATCCTCTGAGCCGATTTGAGATTGATATATGTACTATTTTCTGTCTACTTTTATTTAATAATTCCACTCATTTTTATTTAAAGGATAGTAATATGTAAGGCGATTTTTTATATTTCATAGTAAAATTTTGGCAACACAATAAAAAGAGAGATATTTAATTTTCTAAAATATATAAAGCATTGTCGCAACATGTCTTGTCGGAAACAACTTAATTAGTCAAGAAAGGTAAAGATTGTTTTGTCGTGAAGTCAGTATTATCTTGTTTTCGTTGGGAAATCGTTAACGTCCAAGTGAAATACAGCGAAATGCACTAGCGTTGAAAAAGCCGCTTGCAAGCACCGTGTCAGCATTCCATTCCGCATTTCGCTGGATCCTGCTCAATAAGCAATACCATCATCGTTGAACATTCTAGGAAAATAAAATTACGGAAACATCTGACAAAAAGAGAATCTATATTGTTCCGTTCTATTATTTTCGTTTCCATAAAACAAATTTTGGTACATTTATGATGTTAAATATAATAAGTGAAATTAAACCGATGTGAATTTAACAATGAAATAGAGATTATGTCATTTTGGATCTTGGTAGCCTAATAATATTTCTGTGTGAATTTTGTATACTTTGTCCAACTGAGCAAAATGTGCGCCGATTATTTATCTTGAAATACAGTTCTTTCTTGAACCAGTAAGTCCGTGTATTTAAATCAATAATTTATTTAACTTTTTGATACTAATAAATATTCTTAAATTGCCGTAAAGAATTTATTGTAAAAAATATATCATCCCAGCGAGGGCTCGAGATCTCCTTTCATCCGTGACGAGCCTCTTTATCAATTCGAGCACAAAATTCACACAGAAATGTTATTATTAGGTTACCAAGGTGAAGCCCGATCAAAAATGGAATTTTCTCTATTTAATCTTAAATATGTTGAACATTTTTTTCTGGAAACGGAGCTAGACGATATATAGTATATGAAATGTGGTAACAAGAAATAATCTGCAAAAACTGTACAAAATAGCCGAATAAAATATTGAATTTAAATGAAAAACTGCCGAATAAACGTTTTTGTGTGTTGTTTGGCAACGTAAAATCACTTCGCAAAATTGGTTTTTCATGCGAACAAATGAGAGCTCTAGAGACGAGTTAACTGTCTCCCTCTCTCGTGGGAGCTATTATATGTATTACTAATCAATAGTCGGTCGAAACAATGGTTTTAATGTGCCTGCTATACATGTTAACACACTATCGCGACGCTTTTCGAATGAATTAAGAGATAGGTAAAAGTATGAAATTATATAATCTCTAAAAATATATTCCAAATGTATTATCAGGTATATATAGACATTTTAAAATCAAATATGTAGATTTGCAACTTGAAATACGTGATTTTAATTCAAACATGTGAAAATATTATACATAACAAGTCGCAAATAAGTATTAAAAATTAATTAAGTATAAAGTATAATATTAATCCTTTATAAGACTTAGAACACAACCACTTCTATCTATTCTATCGAAAATTGTATTCCACTAAAATTTCGATTAAGTTTATTCAAGAAGAAATGTCGATCGTGGCCGCGTTCAGCATCATTATGAATTATGCATCACGACAACGCATTGAGAGCACAAACTTCTCCGGTTTTCCATTTATATTAAGCGTTATGCAAACTTGTCAGCGTCAAGTGCCGAAACTCGAACGATTCACGCGAGCTTGCAATTAACGAACTTCCCCGAAAGAAATTTATGGATCTTAACAAAGCAATTGATTCGCCATACGTTTGTTTGAATGCATATCGCTTTGCAAAGCCATTGTATATTCAGTTATAACAAGATTTACTTTTCCAAAATGCGCTAAAAGAATCCATGAAATTTAGGCGATTCTACAAGTAAATAATGTCATAAAAATTTAAGTTTTGATTTGTCAGTAGATCGCTTTCAATATAAAATCAGGATTGGGAAGTAACTCGTTACTTGTAACTAAGTTACAATTACAGTTACTTCTTTTTGGCAGCTCTAACTTAACTTCGTTACTTTTACTCCATCTGTAACTGTAACTTATCTCAGTTACATTTTTTCTATAACTAGTAACTAATTTAATAGTTACATTAATAGTTACTTTATATATTTTTTAAACCTTCACTTAATCGCGTAGGCCTTGCCTTTGCGTATAAGCGCCTCCCTAGAAGCACAATTCATTGGCTGTACATTGGCTAACATTGGTTAAACATTGGTTATGTTGGCAGTGAATTGGCCAATATTTCCCCAATATAACACCAATATTGGTCATAAAATAAATGCAAATATACTACTGATATTGTACCTAGATGATAATTTAGTATTGAATGTATTAGCAAGATTGTCCAATAAAATTGTAATATTGAGTATAGAATAAATACTAATGTAACGCCGATGTTACGTATCAATAATTGCACGGTAGTGAATTTACATTAAAAGTGCATTGCAAAAATATGAGGCCCTCCACCACCCCCGCCAATTTCGATCGGCGGTCCTCTTTTCTTTACAATAATCATTTTCTTTTGACATCTTTGTCATTATTAT